GCGTTGCCCTAACAAACTTACTTTTTATTCTTACAACATTTCCCGCACATTAGCCCAAACAAACCAGGAAGGAAGTAAAGTCGGGCTGGGCCGACTATATGTTACCCTTCACCACTTTGGGTTCATTCTACACATGTATCCTAAGAGACGTTGCCTTTTCAAAGGAACATTGACATGAAATTGAACGAACTTAAATATTTGATATGTAAACCGACTACCATCAATCCCTACACATGCCATTCTCCAACATATGATAAATTTTGTAAATCGATTTAAGGGAACCCCACCCATTCTCGATTTTAATTTTTCAAGATTTTCAATAGACTGGTAAATCAATACCAATGATTTTTAAAGTTTGTAACTTTGCACATATATACTTCAAGATTTAAAAGAGCAGAAAAATAATTTACAAAAAAATTTTGTTGTTGTCTTGTTGTTGTTTTTTGTAATTAAAAAAATCCTTATTTTTGATGGCGGGCATGATAACTCCTCACTGCAACATCGGAATCCGAAAACTCCAACGGTGTTAGAAAGAGTACATGTCTGGCTCTCGTATGAACTAGGATTATTGACTTTGCTCTAAAATTAACAAAATGGTATACCTTTGAAAAAATATTTTTGGAAAATCGCCGATTTTTGAGCAAAAACCAAGTTAACAAATAAGGAAGATCTTCATCGATTGGCTTTATCCTAGTTCATACGATAGCTATATACTCACAGAGAAACGTAAAAACTTTGGAATCGATTGGGTTATTAGTTTTTGAGTTATCGTACCCGCCATTCGCAAAAGAGAAAAACGCGTTTAAAGTTTGAGAAGCCTTTTAGCCGTCACTTGATGCTGACATAATAAATCGGCTATATTTTCAAGAGTTCTTGAGATTTTCACTTCAAATTTTGTAGGGACATTCTTGAATTAGTGTAGATTCGAATTAAATCAAAATAAAAATTGACCCCGAGAATGGGGGGGGGTCCCCTTAAAGCAATTCTATGCCCAAGTTAGTTGGAGAGAGGAGACACCTTTGAACACTTTAGAGAAATCGAAGCCAAATATTCCTTCCTCCTCCTCATTGAATATTTGTGATGTTCGGCTTATAATTGTGGCGCTTATAGCGACTAGAGAAAAAAAAAACAGTCTATTTCATCCACGAAATTTCATCGGGTCATCATCGTCGTCCTTGACCATAACTTGAATATCATGAAAAATTGCACAGTAATGCTAATACTAAACAATATAAGAATACAAGGACCTAGGTAAAGTTTAAGTAATACTCTCGCATATGTACATACATCAATATAATGGGTATCAATGTCAACCACTCCTATTCGATATACTATCAACTTATCGGGTCTATATCCTTCAGGAGTAAATAATAAAATACAAGCTTTGTAATTTTTAACAGAAAAGTGTGGATCAATTTGAAATTCCCATTTGGACTCCGTTATGATAGCTAATCCCTTCAATTCAAATTTTAATTTTATTGATTTCATTGATGCTGGATACGATTTCTTACATAAACCATATTTTCAAATTTTCAGAAAAAAACACTTCTTAGAATTGGTTGTTGAAGTACATTGACACACTTCACTGAATATACAAGTCATTTTACCCATCAAATTTCTATAGTCCACTGCCAAGTGAAGGACATAGGGAAAGAAGAAAAAGGAAATTTCAATACGCCTTGCTACAAGACAAAAGCTACCGTTCATTAAAGATTGAATTGTGTGTAATTGTATATTTGTGTGGCTCCATGTAATTTTACATTTGTGTGGCTCTAAAGTTTATGTTTATTAATATGTCTGCTTAGTGTGACTCCAAAAACAAAAATATATTCAAATTTTATTTAATTTTATGTTAAACATCATTAAAATATGATATCGGGATGTATAAAAGTCATAACCCTAATGTTCAATATCAACCCATATAAAGGAAGTATAAAAAGTTAGGATTGGGCGGAACTGAACGTTGCCCTGCCTATTTTTCTCCTACTAAAAGGTGGAGTGTTTATTAAATTTGGTATTCCGTTTGCAACATCTCGAAAAATTCGGTAAATAAAATTACGTCGTTGTCCTTCTTTACCTCTGTCTGTTCAAATCAGAATCTTACGAGCTCTTACATGACATGGCATGGTTTCGAATTGAAAATGGGATATATGGTTTTGGTATGACCCCCCAAATTAGTTTCACACAATTTGGATTCGATTTACAAATATCTGTCCGTAAGCCTGGGCGGCTGGTGCACATGATAACTCTCGAAGGGAGTAACCGATCTCATCCAATCTTTGCAAATCGTAACATTTTTTTTTAACTTAGCTCAACTTCGAAGATGGAGAATATCGGCCTAAACACACAATGGGTCAAAATTTTCAATATTTATAATCCTAATATCAGGGAAAATGTCCGATTTAAATCAAACATTGCACAAACTATTATCGTGAGCAGACCTAGATCAACTTCCTTCCACTCCTTCTTGTTCCTCCCCAATAAAGGGTCAAGATTGACCTTGAACATTAAATCGGAAAACTCTTTGATAAAAACATATAACTTATATAAAGCTTTCGCAAAGGGTATATATCGGACGGAAACACCTACTGACATTTTTACTATATAGACATATAGGAAAGTTAAACAAGTAAGTACGATTTTAAGTTCGGGCCGGCCGAACTTTTTATTCCCTTTACCGTGAGGATGACAATCAATATATGTAAAATTAATGGGTGAAAAAACCCATGTTTTGATAGGACCTTGGACATAGCGAAAAATATGTGAGAAAAATATTATTGAAATTCTCAAAATATTAAATACCGTTATATGGGGCTATAATAAAACGGAGATCAATATTGATAGTTTTTGGTAGTGAGATTTGACAGCCAATGAGAATATAAAAAGCTAAATTACAGCCAATTCGCATAAAAAATGTGTCCAAAATTATCAATATACCAAATTTGGACCCCGATTTTGAAAAACGTGCCCAAAATTATCAAAATACCGACTTTGGACCCCGATTTTTTTTGAAAATCTCCTTAAAAGACAAACTTGGGTGCATTATGGTCCCTCTCCTATCCAGACTAAAATGATAGACTACAGTTTGCCCTTTGCAAAATGGTGCGATATGTGGCTATATGTGCTGCGGATCAAAAGATATGGGCCTTAAAACCCTATAATAATCATTTGAGTCGGTATTGGAGAGGGACCATAATGAATGAAAGTTCGACTTTTAGGTAGTTTTTCAAAAAAAAAAAAAAAAAAAAAATCGTTAGTCTAAAACCCAGACTGTATCTCCAAGATAAACCCATCATATTATCACTCAATGGAAGCTTTAAAATGATACCCCTTTTATATTACCGGGATCCGTAGAACCGGGCACCGGTACCCGAACTGCCGTGTCAAATAACCGGGTAACCGGGTACACCCCCCAGAAAAAAAGATAGTCCCATAATTAGGGTATAAATACCTACCTCTGGAAATATTTTCAAAAAAAAAAACTGATCGTTTTTACTAAACTAGAGTTAAGCCTGATAATTTCTGACTGACGAACATACGTAAATCGACATAGAATTTTATTCTGATCAAGAATAGATATACTTTGTGGGGTCTGCAGTAAATATTTCTAGGGATTACAAATGGAATGAAAAATTTTAATATACACTCCACCTTTTGGTAGAGGCTATAAATATGCATTTAAACGATCCTGAGCATAAAATCCTATTCACATAAAATTTTGCTTTGCAGTAGGTCGTAAGACGATTTATGGTGTATCGAAAAATTGGCCAGCCGAAAATTATGATGTTTTTATTTATTTTGATATTTGAGGTTTGTTTTTGTCTTCTAGTTTTTGGTTTAAAAATATTGATATCCATATTATAGATAGTCTCTGTAGTTCAATATTTTTTCTGTTGTTTATTTATTTAAACTCGACCCATTAATGGTGGCAATGATCCCAGCCAAAAGGCACACACATTCCATTGACCTTCCATTAAATTAGCTCCACAAGATCTTGACCCATTAAACTAACATAGAACACTTTTCATCTAAGTGTTTCCGACCGATTTCAGGTAAACAACAACGATTTTCCTCCAACTTGTTTTTGTTTACAACATTGTTTTTTTCATTTTCAATGTTACATTGGTTCGCAGCAGTTGAAATTACCCAATTTGCCGGTGCTAACAAACAAATAAAAGCAATTTGAAATCACTTCGCTCCGTTTGATATCGGAAAAAAGAATAAACAAATAAATAAGATTTTCAAAAACCAAAAAAATAATTAGCGTTAAAATTGTAGCCATTTATAAATCAACAGTTTGTATGAACTTGAATTAAAAAAAAAAATAGAAAAAAACGCGAACACCATTCGTGTGGTGTTTGTCTACAAATTATGGCCAACACTTTCCATAATGGCCACAAATAGTTTTCCATATTGGAATGATGGCCATAAGTGTAAGGTTGGTTGGCGGTCGCTTCGCCTTTGGTTTGTGTTAAACGCTAGGAAACTATGTTGTCTGGCTGACTGGCACACGGGCTATCCGACATGGATGCCAGCAGCAGTTCTTTATATTTAAGAAGAATAACAGGCGGCAGTTGCCTCACCTCCCCCGCCTTCGCCTCCTCCACCACTCTCAAAACACACATCCAAACAAACGATTTGATGTGCGTCGGCCAAAAAAGGGCGCCTTTATGGCGCACCACATAGCTTCTTCTGCTGACACTGTGTCTCGTACACAAAATTCCCATTTTTATAATGTTGCCATTTTGCTGTTGTTGTTGTTTTGTCAGTGTTATTGTTTTTTTTATAGTTGTTGTTGTTTGTGTTACTATCAAAAATTCTTTTGGAGCATATTTTTGTTGGATTTCCATTTTATACAATTTTCGCCAATTTTTCTTTAGTATCAATTCGGTTTTCGGCGGGTTAGAAGACACAGCGCGCTGTGCTCCTTAATTTTTTTAATTTTTCTGTTCTGTTCGGTTGTTTCGATTTCACTTCGAATTGCCGCGTCGTTGTCGACAATGGCAAATTCCACATCGTCCACCGCACAATCACGGCGCTCCAGTATCCTTCACATTATTGGCAATATTATCGGTTATATGCAAATTATCACCTTCACCATCCTGCTAATATGTTCGGGTCACTTTGCGTTCAATGTTGACACCTGCCCCTTTGACAGTTGTAAGTTTCGAGTGTGAGTGAAAATACGAGATGTGTGTATTTGTTTTGAAAATTTCTTTCGCTTGGTGCAAAAAATCCAGCTGATCTTCTTAACGTTTCTCTTCGTTTCGTTTCATTTCGCTTTCGAAATGCAGCCGCTTTCGTTTGCCTGGGAGTGTTTTGTGTGATGTTGACCATGTTTCTGTTGTCGTTTATATTGGCCGTGGCCATAACAATGGTAGGTGCTAAAGTGTCGGTGTGTCAATTGAAAGTGTTAATGATTTTATGAAAGAAACAACATTAACAACAACAAATAGAATGAATGAAAAAAAAACGAGTGAACTAATTTTTATGAGACGTGTGATTCATGTCACGGCTTTTGGGGTGTTTTCTAGATGTCGATGATGACACAGGTGTGAAAATGTTAAAGAATGAAAAAAAATAATGTTTTGATTTAAGGTGATACAAATAGCTAATTTTACACGTTGGTTGCCAGGTGGTGTTGCCAGAATGTAGAACCGCTAAAAATAATATTTTGAAGAACAACAAATAAGTAAAAAATTTGGATAATATCATATATGTATATACTCCGATAAGAAGTAATGAAATGGAAATTGGTATATCGGGCTATATCGATATGGGGACCTATATTGACAAATTCATTGATTGGAAAATGTGGCTAGGACCTTCAAATATCTAGAGTCATATTTTACTGTTTTATGAAATGTTTACCATAAACAAATCTCATTATGACAAAAGAAACCCATCCAGATCAGATAATAAACCTGAATTTTTTATCCGTCTTAATTAACATAAATAAAGACATATGATTTGATAGGTAAAAAACATTGCTAATCACATGGTATAATTTATCGGCTTAATAGTTATGTGAATATGAATGTGAATAAAACCATTTCTGGTTCAAACTAGTACAAAAATTGTGCAGCAAACAGTCTAATGTTTTACGACCGAATCCGTATATGTATATTACGAAAAATAATTACTAACGGTTTTGTCTAATGAGATTTATTTATGTCATACATTTCAGACGAATCCCATAGTCCTTCTGAATCTACAATTTATATGAAATATAAGGATTTATGATTAAGGATTAAGGATATAAAATCTTTTCAGCGACATTTTTCTAGAATATTTGTAGGTTTAGTTTACGGTTCAAGATATTAAGGAAATAGGTGAAAACATTGTTATGTTCGGTCGGATCGATTTTGGTGAATTCACACCGAATGTGGTGTGAATTCAAAACGCCATAAATCGATCGGACACTTTTATATGGTGACTATATCATTGCATTATGTGGTGTCAGGTGTTCATCATCTGAAAAAAAAACCCAAAATGCAGACACTCAAGTTAGAAAACTGGGGTAGGAACTTATATATACTGAAAATTGAACGGTACATTTGTGTAGATGCTACCTGAAAACATTAACCCATATTGATAATTCACCAGGAATCCTATTTTTCAAAACGTAATAATGCCGAAAATGCGCCTATAACCTTCAAAATTCTATTTTTATACCCTCAGCCTTATGGCAAATGAGGTAAAAATGTGCCTAATCGATATATTGTGTTTAGACCCCACGTTCCTTTGGACAATTTGGAGTCGTTTTACAAATGTCCGTCCGTCTGTCTGGCCGGCTGGTGCGTACAATAAATGTCGACGGGAGTATCCGTTTTCATCCAAACTTTGCACATCGTAAACGTAGGTTGGGGAAAAGAAATCCATTATTTTTATATGAACTATAGAACTTTATTTAACATGCTTCGGAATGAACCGTTTTGTTGTATGATTTGTTGCCATTTTAAAGATAACCTCATAATGCCTCTCTCATAAAATGCATGCTCTATTAGCAAAAAAGTCTAGTAGTCGATTTTCACAATCCTATCTAGATACCAATTTTTTATAATTTAAAAATTTTGCAATGCAAGAAAAAGATGCTAATCGCTTGGTGCGAAGTCCGGACTGTATGGCGGATGCATTAAAACTTCCCAACCAAGCTCCCGAAGCTTCTGGCGAGTCAATGTAGATGTGTGTGGCCTAGCGTTGTCCTGGTGGAACACCACACCTCTCCTGTTGGCCAATTCTGGCCGTTTCTGATCAATTGCTATCTTCAAACGGTCCAGTTGCTGACAGTAGAGATCAGAATTTAGCGTTTGGACATATGGAAGCAACTCATAATAAATAATCCCCTTCCAGTCCCATCAAACACATGAACCTTCTGCCGTTACTATTTGGCCAAATTTTGTAAATACCGATTTATGACCACGATTTTTCACAGGGTTATCTATTTGATCCATTTCTCATCTTCAGTCACCATCAGTTTAAGAAATGGCACCCATTGATTATTTGGCGGTTTCGCAGATCAAATTCGAATAGGTTTTCCTGTAAATTGGTGTGGCACCCAAACATCGAGCTTCTTTTTGAATTCAGCTTTGTGTACGATGGTTTAAAACAATTTTATGGTCGATTGTTCCGACTGTGCGATGTTCCGACTGCTAACATGCCGCTTAACTTAGATCACTTCTCCGATTTTATCGACATTTTCGACGACCGGCCTAATGGATTTCTTTTTCCCCAACCTAATATTTCTTCAAAACTTAGTTCAATTTCGAAGATGGGGAATGTCGGTCCACCCCTACTGGTACCTCCTCACAAAATGGTCAGAATTGTAAAAAAATCAATTTTTCTAACTTTAAAAAACCAGTTCTGTGTCCAAAATTTAATCTCGATCGGTGCACAATTTGCATGAACTCAGACAAAAATAAATAATAAGGGTTTATTTACATCTGACCACGTCACAAGTCATTCTAGACTCAGTTCAATACGCTGTGCAAATTTCGTATATATGAAAGAAAAATAGCCTCTTCGGTTTACCATTTACATAAAATCGGAAGACGATAAATATGGGAGCTATATTTAAATCTGATCCGATTTCAACAAACTTTAATACACGGCATTCTAGACTCAATTGAATTCGCTGTGCAAAATTTCGTATAAATCGAAAAAAATTTAAATTTAAACCGATTTCAAAAAAACTTAACACACACAGCATTCTAGATTCAGATCAATACGCTGCGCACAATTTCAGACAAATAATAGGAGTTTAGGACACTATTTATATAAAATCGGACAAGAATATAAATGGGAGGTATATCTAATCCTGAACCGATATTCCAAATTCTATCTTATCTAAATTTTTTCTAGTTCTATCGCGATTTTCATGGACATTCTGGGTGTTGGTGTAGGGTCTCCACCATAGCTGCTACGGCATGGTAAATTGTTGCCAGGGAATAAACTGAAAATTGAGAGGCCTGTACCAAAATGAGGAAAGATTTGAACATTATTGATAACAAGTTTCTAAACTCAATGAGAATCCAAAATATCAAATATTTCGAGGTTTTGCAAATTGGTCGAAAACACATCTGATATCCTGAAATATTCACTATCCAAGGAAAACAAAAAATAAAGTGATTTTTGCCTGTTACAAACATATGGGGCCAAAGACCATATATACCCTGTACACACTGTGGTGAAGGGTTCAAATTTCTGCATCTGCATAGTCCAATTTTTTAATGAGTTACAGAGCTATTTGCATTCTTACAAATGTAGAAGGTTATTGATCTACGTATACTTTTTTGTTATTCACCGTAGGGTTAAAAATTACTATACCCACTAGAATTTTGTTATTTTTCACAGTGATATTTTTGATGTTGAACATCTAGAGGCCATTATTATATGCAAAACATAACACATTTTACACGGCTTAGATTGGGTTATACTATTTGGGCTACCCTATAAAGTAGGCCATTATTGATCATTTTCAGTAAAAAGATTTGTCCACCCAGAACCCAAACTGATTAGGTTGAAAGGGTATTCTACGTCCATTCATATCATAGGTGCTGGATTATAAAGTGCTAAACATTTTATATATCAAAGATAGGCCGATACTTATAAAGTTTTGTAGACTATTTGTCAGCCAATAAAAACTTAAAATTTAGAATTAGGCCAGAACCGATTGAAAATTTTGGAAATTTGATGCTATGAAAGATTTGCTTCTCAAAGAAAACCAAAGAAATTATAGTTACGGTCATTTTATTTTAAAGAATTTCTGAAATCCTTAAAACAAAAGTAAAGAGGAATGATACAACAAGAATGATATTGATTTATGACGTTTTTAACTGAACTCAAGTTGAAACGGCCTTTTTTGAAGCTATTTTATCCCTGAATTCTATTTTTATCTTATTTATATTTTCATCTTTTTCGTTACAGCGCCAAGCGCCGTTTATGCTGCCCTGGCTGATAATGTCCGTTGTTGTGATAATAGGTGATATTGCCTATCTCTCGGTGTTCCCGAATATTATATTGGGTATTTTTAGTTCCTTGGTTATATGTAAGTAAATCGTCAAATCATTTCATTTATTTCAATATTTTATATATCTAAACCGTTGTAGGTCCTCTTCTCCTCTCATGGTATCCTCTCTACAAATTATATGGTAAATATAAGAAAGAGAAGACGAGAGAAGAACAACGCCTTTCAGATGCTCTCGATGAAACGCACACCTTGAATAGGCAGGCACAGCTTACCACGCCACCGTCCACACTGTATCCTAACGAAGTGGTACAATATTATCGATCACTGGATCGGCGACCAGATAGTGCGGCATATGATGCGAGTTTGCCGGTCGATCCAAATTTTGCATATATATCTGGTACACCGGCGCCGGGTTGGCGAATTGGTTTATATCCGAAAATGTCAAATAAAGAATATGTTTAGTAATAGGAAACCAGAAAACTGCAGATATTTATTTACGGCAAGGATATAGAGATAATTTCCATAGGCAAATTCAATCCGCGGAGATATTATAGTGAACCAATTTACCTAATGAAGTAAGGCATTTACCGCCATTTACAAGACATATATATTTAAATATATTATATACAGCAGACGGACCATTTCAGAGAATTTATGTACCGTATTATTTAAAAACGTATTTAACTTTAAAACATGCTAAGTATACGTTCATATGTATATGGGAAGTCTATCCATGCTGCTATGGCAGTGGTGTTCCCGACAATAATACCAATATATAAATTGTTAAAGTAATTACAATATTTGTGAAATATAGCTTATTTTCGAACCTGACAAATTTTGACGATCCATATTAATAGGTATAATTGTTAAAGTACAACATTTGGAAAGATGGTACTAACATTAAAGAAAAAAATTTTAGATATAGATCATCATTTCGACGTTGGCCATATCTAACGACATTGGTCGATTTTTAGTATCACTAAAGAAATAGTTTTCTTTGGTGCACCGAAGGGTTCCTTTTAAAAGTGTTTGATAAGGGACCACATGCGGTTTGGCCTCTAAATTTGTTGTTGACCTCCTAACAACATATTTTCAATATAAATCCACTGTTTGGCATCACCCTCATATAATCGTAATGGTACTGTTGGAGCAACTACCATATTTATTAGATCCATTCGTTTGAAATACCAAATAATATTAAAGAGACAAATTATGAATTGGATCCCGTACGCCTCTTAAAACCACGATAAACCTGCGAAATGTTTGTAATTAAATACGTGATATGAAGATCTTTAAAACTTCCTTTAATTTTAGAAAATAAGTTCCTTAATGAAAATTGGGAATATAGGGCTGGGGCTATTCTTGCAGCCAACAGATGGATTGAATTCAAGAGCAATCTCCCAATCTTCCGAGACTGCCGGGGAATCGAAATCAAATTCCGGGCCTTAACACAAAAGTAAGTGAAGAGGTTGATAAGATGGTGGAAAAAGTGAAAAAGGACAATGTTAGGTTCAGAACTAGGTGGAATCTGGTCACAAGAACTCATCGAATAAGGTCGGCAAAGCTGGCTATAGTATCTAGAAGACTGCCGTTGCATCGACATGTGTCGTAAATACGAGGAATCTTAATAGAACTAACCTGACTGCACGAAAGAGGATGCGAAGGTATCCAGTAAGATATATCGAGGTTGGAGTTATGCCAGGCAGGTCTTAAATAGCATCTCATGCGAAGGTAGCCAGTAGAAACTATAGAGACGAGTAGGTATCGAGATTGGAAAGCGAGTTAGCAACAGAACGCATGCTCCAAGTTTTTAGTCTGCAGAACAATATACTGCTGCTGAAGAAATTTTGTTTAAAATCTTCACACTTAGGAAATCGATTTAAAGCAGGGGTTACACTCTATTCGTTATGCTGCAGCACAGCGCACTGTGCAAAATCTCAATCGGACATCCGTTGTTTATTTTGTGCACAATTAACAATTAAATCGGTCGAAAATATATATAGGAACTACGTATGCATCAGCAGAATTTTGTGAAAAAATTTTGTCTTAATAGGATAAATCTTTGGCAAAATATATAGATGGAAGCAATATCGAAATTTAAACCGATTTTCCCCAATTTTCAATATGGTTCTTGGGCAAAATAAGTGATCTGTGACAAATTTCATTTGTTCACAAGAATACATGGACCAACGGACCAACGGTCATAAATCGACTCAGAATGTGATTCTTTGCATATTCTCAAAAGGAACCATGAGTCTATATCCTTTTGCCTGTTAAACACATATGCACAAAGATATGATACGCTGTACCACAGTGCGATGAGGGGTATAAAAACCTCCGACTGGCAATCCCGACTGATTTCAGGTATTTTGAAAAATAAACCAGAAGTAATGTACCGACAGTTTCCATTTCGAAATTTGATCTGAACATGGTAAATTTTCAATATCTATAAGAAAGTCTAAAAAATACACATAACATTCAGAAAAAATCATTAAATATATATTTGAATCGATAGATAATTGTCTTCCTATGCGTCAATTGAAGGAAAGTGAAAAGTTGGCCAAATCGATAACTCCGTCTGATACTTTTTTCAATATCCGTCTCCGTCTGACACTTTTTTTCAATACCCGTATCCGTCTGATACTTTTTCAATATTTTTCCGTCTGATACTTTTCAATTTCTGTTCGATACCTTTTTTTACGTTAGATTTCGTGATGTTCGTCATCGGTGTCAAAAAATGTATTTTGGTTTTTTTGATTTAATCTCAAGAACTCTTGAACATATAGCCGATTTATTGTGTCAGCATCAAGTGACGGCAAACCTTAAACGCATTTTTCTCCAAGCAGTGTTTTTATGAATGGCAGGCAGGATAACTCATAAACTAATAATCTAAATTTCTACACGTTTCTGTAGAAGTGTATAGCTATGGTATGAACTAGGATAAAGGCAATCGGTGAAGAACTACCTTATTTTTAAACCCTCCACCATATTATGGAGGGTATATTAATTTTGTTTTTCCGTTTGTAACACATCGAAATAATCATTTCCGACGCTATAAAGTATATATATTTTTGATCAGCGTAAAATTCTATGACGATATAGCCATGTCCGTCTGTCCGTCTGTCGGTCTGTTGTAATCACTCTTGCGTCTAAACGAATGGAGATAGATCGCCAAAATGTTGCATAGAGTCTTTGTCTGCAGGCAGGTCAAGTTCGAAGATGGGCTTTATCGGTCCACGTTTAGGCATAGCTCCTATATAAGGGTACCACCCAATGTTCGGTATTTTGAGGTTCTTGGGCGCGTTTTTCAACTGAATTCGCTGAAATTTGGTAAATTGAGTTCTTATTGGGTAGCAAATCTCTCCACTAAAAATTATAAATATGGGTCCTTATTTCCGGACCAACCCCATTTAAGGGTACCCCCCAATTTTGCAGTATTTGGAGGGGGTTTAATCGCATTTTTCGACCGAATTCGCTGAAATTTGTAGATTGGGTTTTTAGTGGGTACCAAATTTCTCCACTAAAAATTATAAATATAGGTCCACTTTTTATGGTAGCCCCCATATAAGGGTACCTCCCAATTTCCAGTTGTTGGGGTGTTTTGAACGATTTTTTCACCGAATTGGCTGTAATTTAGTAATTTGAGTTCTTACTGGGTAGCAAATCTCTACAAAAAATTATAAATATAGGTCAATTTTTTCGGGTAGCCTCCATATAACGGTACCCCCAATTTTCTATATTTTGAGGTTCTTGAGCGCGTTTTTCCACAGAAATCGCTGAAATTTGGTATTTTGTAGTCCTATATGGTAACAAATCTCCCTACCAAAAATTATTAATATTCGCCCCAATTTTAGGGGTATTCCCCATATAACCCCCTTTTTATACCCTCCACCATAGTATGGGGGTATATTAATTTTATCATTCCGTTTGTAACACATCGAAATATTCATTTCCGACCCTATAAAGTATATATATATATATATATATATATATTCTTGATCAGGGTAAAATTCTAAGACGATCTAGCCATGTCCGTCCGCCCGTCTGTCCGTCCGTCTGTTGTAATCACGCTATCTTCTGAAGGAATTGAGATAGGGTGCTGAAATTTTGCATAGGGTTGTCTTTTGTCTGCAGGCAGGTCAAGTTCGAAGATGGGATATATCGGTCCAAATTTAGGCATTGCTCCCATATAAGAGTACCCCCCAATTTTCGGTATTTTGAGGTTCTTGAGCGTGTTTTTCAACCGAATTCGCTGAAATTTGGTACTTTGAGTTTTTATTGGATAGCAAATGTCCCTACTAAAAATTATAAATATAGGTAAATTTTCTCTGGTACCCCCCATATAACGGCACCCCCAATTTTCGGTATTTTGGGTTCTTAAGCGCGTTTTTCAACCGTATTCGCTGAACTTTGCTACATTGGGTTCTTATTGAGTACTAAATGTCTCCGCAAAAAATTATTCATATAGGTCCACTTTTTCTGGTAGTCCCCATATAACGGTATCTCCTAATTTTCAGTATTTTGATGGAATTGATCGTATTTTTCCGAGATTAACTGTAATTTAGTATTTTGAGTTCTTAATAGGTACCAAATCTCCCTACAAAAATTATGAATATAGGTCCATTTTTTCGGATAGTTGTTGCAATTTGGTATTTTGTAGTCATATATGGTAACAAATCTCCCTACCAAAAATTATTAATATTCGCCCCCATTTTGGTGTAGTCCCCATATAGCCCTCTTTTTTATATTAAAATGGTTATCTGATTTGTTCTGCGTTTTGACTCTGTTGTAATCAGTTCTCCTGCGGAGGATAGCGAGATACAAAATTATAACGTAAGGTTCGATAATGAACTATAGCCGTATTTAGACCTAGTCCCTGTGTGGAGGTTCCAGAAGGAGTGGACCGATATTCCCCATCTATGAATTTGAACTAAGTTTGGAAGAAATAATAAGATGTGCAAAGTTTGGATGAATTCTGAATTTTCTGAAACAGATTTGGTCCAAAGAAACATGGGGCCTAGAACCAATATTTCGATGAGACACATTTTCACCGTGTTAAATTGTATACACCCACATTAGCCATAAGGCTGAGGGTATAATTATCCACTAAAAATGTCTGAAATTTGTATTATGGGAACCCCACCCATTCTCGATTTTTTATTTTTAAGATTTTAAATGGGCTAGTAAATGAATACTAATGCTTGTTAAGGTTTGTAACTTGGCACATATATATTTGAAGATTTAAAAAGGAAGAAAAATAATTTACCAAAATTTGTTGTTGTTGTTTTTTGGGTTCAAAGAAAAGTCCATATTTTCTATGGCGGGCATATATATATATATATATATATTCCAACTGTGTTAGAAAGAGGACATGTCTGGCTCTCGTATGAACTAGGATTATTGACTTCGCACAACAATTAACAAAATGGCGGAACTTTGAAAATTTTTTTATGGAAAATCGCTTATTTTCTACCACAAACTAAGTTAAAAAATAAGGAAGATCTTCACCGATTAGCTTTATCCTGGTTCATACGAGAGCTACACACTCCCGGAGAAACGTGTCAAAATTTGAAACCGATTGGATTATTAGTTTTTGAGTTATCGTGCCCGCCATTCGCAAAAAAAATGTTTAGAAAAAAAACGCGTTTAAAGTTTGAGAAGCCCTTTAGCCGTCACTTGATGCTGACACAATAAATCGGCTATATCTTCAAGAGTTCTTGAGATTTTCACTTGAAATTTTGTAGGAACATTCTAAAATTAGAGGAGATTCGAATTAAATCAAATAAATTTTTGACACCGAGAATGGGGGGGTCCCCTTATGGTATAAATAATCCCGTTTTAAAAATGTCGGTATAGGTCTACTTTTTGGTATGTTCCCTATATTTTCATTTCTATTACCTATCAGTATATCCATGGTGGAGGGTATCCAAATGCTAATGCTTTTTCACTTCTTTTACTTAGTTTGTTGTCAAAAATAGGCGAATTTCCAAAAAAAAAAAAAAACAAAAAACAGCAAAAACAAAGGTCCGCCATTTTGTTAATTTTTGAGCGAAGTCAATAATCCTTGTTCATACGAGAGCCAGACATGTACTCTTTCTAATACCCTTGGAATTTCTGGATTCCGATGTGCCAGTGAGGAGTTATCATGTCCACAAAAAAAGAAATTTTCTTTAATCACTAAAAACAATAACAACTAAATTTACAAACCTTAAAATGCATTGGTATTCATTTACCAGCCCAATGAAAATCTTGAAAATTAATGATCGCATTATAATAAAAATAAAAAACTTAACCGAATCACATTTTTTGATGACCGGTATGCTAAAAATTTGATTTACCATTTCCATTATTTATGTAAATTATATTGAACTTCCTATGGACTACGTTTTTCCCATTCCCAACAATTATTGATTCCAAAAATAAAATAAATAAATAAATTACCATAAAATTCCTATGAAACGAATTCAATCAATTCGTTCCATTCTTTTTGTTACATTTGTTGTTGTTTTGTCTAGCCCGGTCTATTATTATTATTAAATTATGTTTATTTTTTTAACGACATTTTTATTCGTCCATAATTTGTTGTTATAAACAAATGCTGACCCAATATAACGGAAGCATAACCAACGCCAGCCATCTTCAATGTCTTCCAAAAATTTGGATTTTGCCGGTTGCGCATCAGCAGTTGTACGTCGATGTTGTTGTCGATGTCGTTGTGGATATCTCATGATAGTCATTCATGTGTTCGTTCAGCATTCAGCTTCATTGGCTAGCATTTACTTAGTCTTATTTATTGGCATTTTCTTTCGATGCTATCGATTTGTTTGTTTATTTTTGTTTGGATTTCTTTTTGTCTTCATCTTTCTCGTTTGCTTTACATTTCATTGCTGTTGTTGTTTTTTTTCTCAATTCTTGTTTAATTCATGCATTTCACGAATTTCACAAAAAAAGGCAGCAACAAGTTTTACTTTGGTAAGCGTTTTTAGCATTTCGTCCAGCTGCTGCTTTTGCTGCTATTCTTGACTTGTAGAGTCGGTGGCTGTGTCTTGCGAAGCAGCTGCTTATTGTGGTTTCATTTTTCAGCGCCTTCTTCAGTTTAGTTTCCGTATTCATTGGCGTAACAACGCACGCACACAGCTTTCAATAAAATTTCACCCGGTTTGTTTAGTCAACCAGTTAGCTTCCAGAAAAGAAAAAATAAAACACCAACAACAACAAATAAATAATAAAAATAGCGGCAAAATGCTCTCCCTACAAAATGACGTTTTGGATAGAATGGGTAAAATTATTGGCTATACCCAGGTGTATCTTTTTACGATCCTGCTAATGTACATCTGTTACACGTTCCGAATGTCGGCCTGTCCACTGCCCAGCGAAGCCAAGTCTAATGTCTGCCTAGGGACGGTGGTCTTAACGTTGATAATGTTGGCATTGTCAATTATCTTGGCTGTGGGCATTTCATTGGTAGGTAAGAAGGTGTAATAATTGTACAAATGCAACTGTATGTTCGTGATGTATGACCGGTTAAATTTTTGCTAAGGACATTAAAGGACATATTTTTGTTGTTGTTTAAAACCGTGCCATATTCGTTGTAGTTTAAACGTTTAGTTTGAGAGCTCTAAATTTTTTGTAAGATATGTGTTAATTGGGTGATGCCAAGAAACATCCAGAAATATTGGCAGAGATCATCTGTATGCAAATGACCAGTTTGAGACTTAAGATTATTAAAAATACTGTAATTGCCCAAAATGGCATATGAGTGCGTAAAAAATTAAAGAAAAATCATGATATGCTCGTACATGGCTCTCCGGTAACCACTACGTATTTATTTCAACCGTTTACATTTAGACAAATTAGCAAAAAGGCAAATATTTGTATGTGTTTCAGTTTTTGACAAAATGTTGTAATGATAAAATCATCAAAAAATGTCAAAAAATCATCATGTCAAGTGTCACAAATGTCAGTATAGCATAGGTATACTGATAGTTAATTGAAATGTAAATATAGGGAACATACCAAAAAGTATACCTATACCAACAATTGTACCATAAAGTACACCAAATATAAATTTCAGCAATTTATAATGGAGATTTTTCTTAAAAATCGCAAAACCCCAAAATATGAACCGATTTTGTCGACGCATATTGCAATTTAGAGGGCAAGGTTATATGAGGTCATCATTTGCATGCGTACGTCCCTGGAGGCTATACCCAAAGCGGGACTAATATTGATTACATCGTGTAGGAATAACCGAACATTTGGAGTTATCATTATATGAGGTGGTATGCCTAATTCAGGACCGATATAGCCTAATTTCGAACCTAACATTTTTTGCATCACAATACATTTTTTGATGCTAAATATTAAAAATAACGAAATCTTTAGGTATCATCTTATGGGACCTAAGTCTAAATGCAGGCCGATATAGTTCATTGTCAAACATGATGTTCTAGTTTTTATACCCTTCACCACACTGTGGTACAGGGTATTATGTCTTTTCGCACATGTTTGTATCGGGCAAAAGGAAACGAGATAGATACATGGTACCTTATGAGAATATGCATAGAATCACTTTCTGAGTCGATTTACGCATGTCCATCTGTCCGTCCGTCCGTCACTTATTTGGCCCAAGGACGAACCCTATTGACATTGGGAATAATCGGTTCAGATTTAGATATAGTTCCCATATATATTTTCGTCCGATTTAATGTAAATGTATTAGGTCTAGAGTGATGAGTGTTAAATCTGAAATCGCTTCAGATTTACATATAGCTTCTATATCTGACCAAATGAAAAATGTAGTATCGGTTGCAGAATGAAATGTTTATGGATCCAGTTTCATTTATACTGGTCCTTTAAAAATGCGACGTCGGTTAGGATTCATCTGTTGAATATACCCAAAGTGGTGAAGGATATCATATAGTCGGACCCTCCGTTTTTAATAATTTCCTTACTGTTTTTTATCTCGATATCTTCTGAAGGTGGAATGATTCCAAGAGATGGCTAAATCGACAAAATAGTCTTAGAATTCCATACTTTCGAGTACAGAATATTTCCTTGCTATGGTAGAATACAGGTTTATGGGGACACACCCAGAAAGCGGAACCAATCAGTTAACTATTTTAATATGAACAAGTGAAAAGAGCTTTAAATTCTGCCGGGCCGAATTTTGGATACCCTCCACCATAGGTATAAAATTAAAATTCCAACCCCGTGTAAGGAATAATGGAGGATATATGGAACATACCAACTAGTGACCTATACCCACAATTGTACCAAGCGATTGTTGTATGCCGAAATGCACACGAAATAATTTTTAATGGGGATTTCCCTAAAAACTCAATACCCCAAATCGTGGTATAAAATTTTCAAAATACTGCAATTTAGAGGGCAAAGATATATGTGAGGCTATACCTAAGACTGATAAATATTGATTACATCGTGTACGAACATTTGAAGTTTTCATTATATGAGGGGCTATGCCTAATTGAGGAGCGATAAGCTCAATTTCGAACCTAACATTTTCGTTTTGTAACACAATAACTTCCTTCAAACTAAATATTAAATTGGTTGGTATTTTTATATTAAATGCGGGCCGATACAGATATAGATATTCTCGAAGCTGACGTTCTAGTTTTTTTTTACCTCGATATTTTTTACCATCGGAGAATTATTACAATAGATGGTTAAATCGAGTAAATCGTCTTAGAATTCCATACTTTGTAGGGTATCAACTGACAATTTCGAGTACAGAATATCCTCCATACATGGAGGAGACAATCCCAAAAAGCGGAACAAATCAGTTTCAATATAAAAAGGGCTATGTGGGGAAAATGCGCTCAAAACCCTCAAAATACTGAACATTTTATGGAGGCTATTGAAAAAGTGGATTTATATTAATAATTTCTAGTGTAGAGATATAGTACCCAATAAAATTACGGCGAATTCAGTTGAAAATTGGGGGAACCCGAAAAAACTTGACCTATATTTATAATTTTTATTGGAGACATTTGCTGTCCAATAAGAACTCAAAGTACTAAATTACAGACAACTCGGTAGGAAAATACGATCAAAGCCCCCAACATACGAATTCGGTTGAAACACGCGCTACAGAAACATTATAGGGTAGGAAATGATTATCTCGATGAGTTACAAACGGAAAAACAAACTTTAACAAAGTTTTGTTGTTATTTTTTGTGATTAAAGAAATTTCCTTTGTTTTGATACCAGGTACGATAACTCCTCAATGGAACGTCGTAATCCGAAAAATTCCAACATTAGAATGAGAATGAGTACCTATATGTTTGGCTCTCATATGAACTAAGATTATTGACTTCGCACAAATGAACAATCGGCTAATTGAAATCAGAATAACTTCCAAAAGTTTATTCCGCTCAATTGAAAAATATATGCTTTGCGTGTTGGCAACGTTTGCGTGGAACATTGGCTGATAAATCAGAACAAAATCGGACCATATATGGACTAAAATAAATTGTATGTCCTGAAGAACAAAAGAAAATTTCTCCTTTCGGTGGACAATGTAGTCGGTCAAAAAGCAGTTAATGGAACTATTTAGAGAAGTTAAACATTGTATTTTTACACAAAATATGACGTCATTAATTCGGCCAATAGATCGGAACGATGTTTTAAATATCAATAAAGGAATATAATTGTACCAAACAGCTTCTGCATTTATAATGTGGATTTTTTCTTTGGAACTTAATTAGCTGGCTTATGACAGAACGGTTGTTCCATAAGCCGAGATTAAAAATGATTTCCAAACTCGTCGGTCGTGTGCTCATCTTATCCAATTTGAAAAACTATTTTCCGAGATGCTGTCTTCTACTTGATCTTTCCATCGGATTCGTGACCTTCCCTTCTGCGTTAACCATCAGAAGGCTAGCTTTTATATGCCATTTGAGCTGGGGCATCTTCATCCATTCTCACAACATGGCCTAGACCTAGTCGCAGCTGCCCGACACGTCTGACTATGTCGATGTCAGAGTATATATTGTATAGCTCATGGTTCATTCGACGGAGATATTTACCGTCGACGCAGATCGGCCCATATATCTTCCGGAGAATTTTTCTCTCAAACACTCCAAGATCTGCCTCATCAGGTTGCGCAAGTACCCATGCTTCTGATCCATACAACGGGTAATATCATCACCTTGTAGATTGTTCTCTGGCCTAGAGGTGGCCGTGCTTTTTAGTTGCTTACACAGACCATAGTAGCTTCTGTTGGCCAACACTATTCTCTATTCTATGTCCGAGTCTATTGGGCGTCTTGTGTGTTAATACCATCAGCTTAATTTTTCGCCATTTTCTTTGAAAAAAAAAAAAAAAATATATATATATATTTCCTGAGGGTGCCAAATTTAGTGTATGGAATAACATGGAGGAATATGCTATTTCCAAATGTTTTGAACAAATCTGAATTTATTCTTGGTATTTTAATACCAATTGGTTTAACCAAATGTATTGAACTTTCAACTTCGGTTAAATGAAACACATCAATTATTTGAACATCGGATTAAAAAAAATGACTCTGATAATTGAAACAAACAAACTGCGTTAGGCACTTTCAGTTGAGCGTCGATCACATATTTAATTTCATGTCAAGGATCCACCAAAGATATCCGATCAGCAAAAGCTGAACACATACGACCTAAAGTGTCATGATCGTGGAGCACAATTTGCCTGATGAAAATTGATAGAAAATTGATGGCATAAATATGAATTTTGGTAGGGTAGGGTTCAAATCTGACAATTGTTTGCAATCTGAATCTTTCTCCGTCACTGATGCTCAAATATTTGAATATTTGAATAAACAGCTATTATTAAAAGTAATTATTTTAGTTGCTGTGGATGTTATAAATTTGACACCTGTCGTACTTAGTTTATCTAATTAATAAAGCAAATAGAAAAGTGTTTTAAAAGTTGATCCCTAATTTGGAGCAGGCTGTGAGCGGAGATCTGGCTACGAGTATGGAGCTGGCTATGAGCGGGGAGTTGGCTACGAGCGCGGAGCTGGTCACGAGCGGGGATCTGACTATAAGCGGGGAGCTGGGAGCGGGCAAAGCGCAAGGCCGAAGACTTTTGTTAACTAATATGACTGCGGGCCGTCGACTTCACATGTGCTATTCGCTAACTCTGGTCAAAGAAGACTCCGTATTGTTTTTGATAGACCACAACTATGACCCGAACACCAAGATGTTTTACACCAGGTAGGGAATCTGGCCAAAGTATAAGCGAGACTGTTTTGATGAAGATCGGTCAATATTTAGCTGGATAATTAACCCATACTTTGTGTGAAAAATGACAAAATTTGTATTCTGGGCGTATATATTTACTCCTGAAGGACATAGACCCGAGAAGGTGATAGTATATGGGAGATAGGTAGTTGAACTTTTTGTATGTACTCGGATGTGGGAGTTATACATAAATACTTAAAAGTGCCTATGTGTTATAATATTGTTTGGTATTATTACAACCTCACTAGAAGGCGCAAATGTCGTGCTGATCGCTTTGAAATATTACATGAAGGTCCTGTTTTGGCCAAGGACGACGCCACTCTAGGTGGTGCACTCCAGAGACCATTATTATATGCAGAACATCACATATCTTACACGATGAAGGCGATCTGACCAAATATTTGGAACGGCTGTTTAGATGATGATCGGTCAATATTCCGAGGCTCAAATCAACGAAAACCTTAAGTGACCTTTTTTTTCGGGAAAAAAAGATTTGTAAAATATGCTTGGATTAGAAAGTGGAGCTGTTGATCTATGATCGGTCAACAGGGAGCAAATATCGCGAAATATTTCCAGGCTCAGAATATAGAACCGCAGAAAGTTAGATTTTCATAAAGTTGTGAAAATAATTCTGCTGCATAGGTTTGCGGTCATTCAGAGTTGTTCCAGCTTATTAAAAAATGTGACATATTCATGAAATGAGGGGTATAGTCGGTCCCGTCCGACTTTTGTCCTTTGCTTACCGGGTTTAGATGTTAAAATATACATTTTGGACCAAATTTTTTAAGATATTATTTATTATTTTCTAATTTTGTATTATTTTTTCAGCGCCAATCCAAATATATTGTGCCCTGGCTAATAATGTCCACCGTTACGGTCATTGTCATCATCATGTATTTGATTATTTATGGCAATATTTTCTTAACGGTCATGGGAAGTTTGGTGCTATGTAAGTACTCATACATATTCTTTAAAAATTTTCTAAATTAATATCTTCCCCTATTTTGCAGTTCTGGTACTACTTTCCTGGTATCCCTCACTGAAACTATATCAGAAATTTCGTGCGGAAAATGAAATCGAATTACAACAATATCCAGTTGAGGAGTCAAGACCATTGTATCATTTACCCACCTCTGCATCTCTACCACTATACAGTGAAGTTGTGAGAGATCCCTTACAGCTGAGCACCATGGAACCACCATCCTACGATGAAGTGATCAACATGAAAATGAAACATTCGTTGGATATTTGATACCGAACGGAATGCCGGAGACTGCATTGGAAATTTTGATAGTTTTGAACAATTTAATTTAATTTATAGAATGCCTTATAACGACCCTATTGTCATTTATCGTGATTGTTTCGTATTATTGAAGGTCATTCTTATTACGAGTTCGTGTTCATTGGAGAGCTGTCATCAGCACCGCCATCACCATAAAACAATGTCTTGTTAGGTGGGAATAAAAGGGTGTTGTTATTTTGTTTGATTGATTTGTAATGCTGAAGAAGAAGAAGTAAGGCGCTGAAGATTTTATATTTGCAGCCGATGATATTTAATAAAGAAAAACATATTTGAAATGAAAGTACAATGCTGAATTAAACGATATTTTTTATAACCTACAGAACTATGTTGTAAGGGTATTATTGATTTGGGTGGTCCCAGAATATTAATCCTAGACCTACCTTTTAGTACATCGATCGTAACACAAAAATTGTAGAATGTATGACTGGTTCTGATCAAAAAAGATTTCTAAAATAAGAAATTTCAATTTTATGATTTACATGCTCCGAGTAAGTAAGAAGAGTTGTTGACCTTTAATTGGCGAAGAGAGTGAAAATATCGTAAAATATTGTACAGTCTGGAATATAGATCTGCAGAAAATTAAACTTTAGTGGCAATTGTACCTCAGAAGTACACCTCCTATATCAGGAGCGATGCCGATCGCTGCATTGTTTACAATAATACATGGATAGACAGACAGATGGAAATTCATGAATTGACTCATAATATAAAAAATTAAACATTTTATTTCCGTACCTATCATCTGGGAATAAATTGACGACACTGTGCAACAAAATCGAGATCAGCATCTTGGGGTGGAAAATTCCTATTGGGATGAAATACCTTCTACAAAAATTTTGCTCACAAGATTTTAGGTAGGGTGCTCAAAGACGTGAAATCTACTTTTTATTGTTTTAAGGGAGTCACAAATTTATTCTGGACCTTGTCAAAATCTTCATTATTTCCTAACTTGGTTTGTGGTCAAAAATAGGGAATATCCAAAAATCATGTTAATAATCTTAGTTCATACCAGAATCGGAAATCATGCCCGCCGTCGAAAAGAAGGACTTTTCGTTAATTACAAAAAACTACAAACCAAAACAAAATTATATCAATTTATTTTCTTATTCTTTATATACGCAAAGTTACATGTCTTCAATGTAAAGCACGCCCATTTTCCAACCGGCCCCCTTAATATATTCTCACAGGGGTTTAGTCGCCGATATCCGTGCGAAGTAGCTTATTGTGGTTCTCTCCTCTACGTAGTTTTTTCATTTCAGTTTCCGCATTCGTTGGCGTAACAAGGCACGTACCAACTTAAAAATTAGTTAAAAAGGGTGGCAAAATGTTTTCCGACAAAATGACGCTCTACAAAGAAGGATTTAAATTTTTTGTTATACTCGGGCGTTTTACGTTTCTGACCACTACACAGCTATGCCAGGTTTATTGACTGCCTGGGGACTGTAAAATTAACGTTGTCCATAATTTTGGGTGTGGGTTTTTCATGTTGTTGGTAAGCTTAACATTACTTTAAAAAAATCAGCAATTGTCAAAAATAGCATATAAGTGCATTTTTTTTTTAATTTCCGACAATGTGTCGATAACTCAGATTCTTATTTGGGTTTCATTTTTTCTTTTTAAACCGTAGTGATTCCACAATCATGCCCACCAAGAACGTCTTTGCAGATAATTTTCAATATACATAGCATGGTACAATTATAAAAGGTAACCGCAAATCCCAGCTGATTTGATTCCAACGTAATACTAGTGCCAATATGAATTTGACAAATTATGTTTTTAAAAATCACCCAACAGGAAAATTGGGAACGCATACAATTTGAAATTTTTCTTTATTAAATGTGCTCCCGTATTCAATATACTCAATCTGCCTACCGGGAAAGTTTGAGGAAGCAAATCTTTCTTCATGGTATAACTCGAAATTCCCTGCATTTTCATATGTGTTACACATATAAGTGGCAATGGCTTAATTATAGGAAAGATGTGGAAGCGATAGAAATATAAATTTGATAGATTTTCATTCATGTTTTTCAATTTTTATTTTGAGAATTCGAAAATATTTCATTTTCAAAATAAATATAATTTGTTTGTTTACATTTTTTCTGTCAAAAGACGTTGACACTAGTATAACTTACAACAACAAATTTCCATATGGTTGTTGTATCATTTGTTGTACAACAACACTTGCTGTTACCTTCTGTTATTATATCATGTATACATAGATTCACTTTTGGATATAACCTCTATATAAAAACATGTCCTATTTTCGGTATTTTTATGGATCTGACATTATTTTTTGTTTTCAGAAGATATAAAAACCTGAATATGGCTGTAAGAATTTTTATACCCTCCACTACATTATGGAGGGTATATTAATTTTGTCATTTCGTTTGCAGCTCATCGAAATATTCGTTTCCGACCCTATAAAGTATATATATTCTTGATCAGGATAAAATTCCAGGGTGTTTTAGGTTTCTTAAGCGCGTTTTTCAAACGAATTCGCTTAAATTCGGCGCAATAGTTTCTTATTGGGTACCAAATATTTCCATTAAAAATTATAAAAATAGGTCCACTTTTTCCGGCAGCCGCCATAATTTTCGGTATTTTGAGGGTTTTGAGAGTGTTTTTTTAAGGAATTCGCTGTAATTTCGTATTTTATAGTCGTTTTGGTAACAAATCTCCCTTTCAAAAATTATTTAAATTCGCCTCCTTTTGGGGGTAGTGCCCATATAACCCCCCTATTTTATACCCTTCACCACACTGTGGTACAGGGTATTATGTCTATGTGCATATGTTTGTAACAGTCAAAAGGACACAAGAGAGAAACATGGTTCCTTTTGAGAATATAAGTTAATGTTAGAAGTGATTGTTTTTATTCACACTACTATGGTGTTGCTTTATTTGATCTCTAACATTTATGTTGCGGTGCTTGAATTTAACTTAAAACTATTATTTTACTGTAGCTTGGCCATGCTCGTTGTTACGCCAAGTCATCAGTTGCAGTGCGCTGGTATAAGTGCGCGTGTGTGTGGCGGATGACTGACCTGGTGTCAGATTCCTGTTGATTTGACTGACTGCTTGCGCAGCATAATGATGTTTATTAGGGTGAGCCGTTAACTTACATTGAATCCCTTTCTGAGTTGATTTATGCATGTCCGTCATTCCATCTGTCCATGTTAAATTTTAAAAAAAGTATAGGTCGCATATATGATCCGAATTGGATGAAATTTGGCATATGTTTATGGGTTGATTTAAATTTGTACATACATATATCTATGTAGATCACATATTTAAGTTAGTTCGATTGCGCCTCGATGGTCCTCTAAAGATGATATGTTTGTTCTACCGACCGGACATTGTACGTCCGATTTTTGAACTTTTCTTACTGGTTTCAGTTTAGTTTCAGTATTCATTGGTGTAACAAGGCATGCACCAACATAAAAACAGCGTCAAAATGTTCTCCCAGCTAAATTACGTTCTACATCACTAATGCACAAAATAGTACGATAGCGGTGATTGCCAAACACGTTTTCTCGTTGTCTCTCTTTGTATCAGTAATTTTTGTTGATGATCTATCAGTTACGCTCTCTTAATTTAGTTCTGTTCAACACTGTTCTACATAGAACAGTTTCTTTTAATGTTCCTGGCCACTACACAGAAATGCCAATTTTAACGACTGCCATAATTGTGGGCATTTCATTTTTAGTTTTGTTAAATAGTTGCTAAAATTAAACTACAACTTCATTGTTGTGTTCGAAACTTTTATTTTGGGAGTTCCAAATATGTTGTAAATGTCGGAAGGTGAAACCACAGAACAAGCAGTGTGCGGAGCAGTATAGTCGGACGGGGCCGACCATACGATACCCTACACAACTTCCATGAAAATCTAACATTCTGTGGTTCTATATTCTGAGATTGGGCAATATTTCGAGATATTTGTACACTTTTGACTTTGTGTTGTGATGTTCGGCCTTCGTCTCGAAAAGTACAAATAATTAAGTTTTCGGTCCACTTCATCCGAAAAATTATTATCTGATCATCACCTAAAATTTTAGGCGTTATCCTTGACCATAACTGGAACCTCATGGAACATTTCAAAGTGATCAGCGCTATATTTCCGCCCTCTAGTGTGGTAATGGGTTACTAAATAATATATAAATACGTAAGCATCTGTAAATATTTAAGAGTAACTTCCGCATCCGAGTGCCTACGACAATATAATTGGTATCAATTTAAAGGTCAACCACTCCTCTTGGATATACTGTCAACTTCTCGGATCTATGTCCTTCAGTGGTAAATATATACTCTACAAAATACAAATTCTGTCATTTTTCACACAAAAGTTAGGGTCCATTTGACCCTCTAAATATTGACCGATCTTTATCAAAACAGACATGCTTAATCTTTGGCCCGATCCCCTTCTCCATGCAAAAATTCGGGGTGTTTGGGCCATAATTGCGGCCTCTGGAGCGACCAGAAAAACCAACAAAAATAACGTTTTTGGTCCATTTCATCCCCAAAATATTAACCGATCTTTCTCAAAAATAATAGGATTGGCCAGAACCCATCCTACATGCAAAATTTCGTGACGATTGGTCCATAACTGTGGCCTGTATCGTGTTTACAAATTATAATGGACAGACAGACGGACGGACACACATATCTAGATCGACTCAGCTAGTCGAGATATGACGATCGGTATACTTAAAGGACCAATATTTCGGCGTTACAAACTTTTGTGGCTGCACAAAGCTATAATACCCTGACAACATAGTTGTGTAGGGTATAATAAACAAATATTATATGTATGACAGGATTAAAACTTAAAAGTAAAAAATATAGACTTTCAAAAAATACACATGACTACGAACTTTTTTTATTTTCGACAAAGTGTCGAATACTCAGATGCTTGTTTCAGATTTATTTAAAACAATAGATCTAAATTTCCAATT